CAATATTACTTCGCGGTCGAAAAGTGATATTCCATTCGCTTGCCAAACTATATATATTGATTGCCTTGCTACATGTTTGGTACCAAAATACTCGTCGAAAGCTTCTCTTTTCGTTCTCGTAGTCATTGCTTAGCTACATCCTGAGCCTGGTAAACTAAAGGCCACAACTTGAGTGCATACTTCATGCTTTGCTTTATAAACAACACCCACGCGAATATTTGAAATTCCGGATGCTTTGATAGGTCGTAAAAGGATAATTAGGAATTCTTGTGGATAAACGGAAAAGCCGCTGACCGACTGGTACGCTTGCACAATGTCCGTCATTTCTGGCCATGTAATTCGTTTAGTGCAAAAGCTTTATCCCTTCGGTGAATTAGTTGTTTTAACGATTTCGTCATCGAAGGGGGCTCATTATTGATCAGAATCTTCATTTTAATGGGAAGTAGAAAGTCAAGACCAAAGTTAATAATATGCTCCAACATTTTCGTTTTATCGTCACACGAATCTATACTTTCTACCCAATATTTAACATTAACTTCTTCTATATATTTACCAAGAGCGAATCGTTTTGATGGTCGCAAATCCCTTGACATTACAACCGCTTTTGTTCCAGAATTTTTAGGTTTTTTTAGTGGTTTCGCTTCTACGGTGACGTGATCGGATAGTCCAAAAGGTGGGCGTTTAATTGGAGAATCATAAATTTTTTTCAGTCAGTTAAAATCAGATCCAGGATGTCATTACCACGAGTAGTGAAATTTACAATATGACACAGCTTAAAACTGTTTTTTAACAGATGAACGTTCACGGTTTGGAAATTTTGTTTTGAGTGATACTAATGATTCAGAAAGGTAGTTGATCATAGACTAATCATTTGCCCCTGGTGGATGGTACAGATTGCATAAAATAATATTGGACACTCCTCTTGGTAAACGAGTCTGTCTTAAATACAGCCATAATGCTTTTTACTCATTACTTGAGAAGTCATGCACAATGTTGAAGTTAATCGTGTATTCGTGTTACGGATATAGACGCAAACACCGCCGTGAATGCGTTCACGTCTTTCACGTCGGATCACTCTCCTACGCAGAGGCTTTGTAGTTTGTTTTCTTTCTATGAGATTGGGTTTGTCTTCTTTCTTTTTACAAGTTTGACTTGCGGGCAGTAGCCCGCTACTGCCCGCAAGTCAAACTTATAAAGGAAGAAAACAAACTACAAAGCCTCTACGAAGGAGAGTGAGGTCGGATTAAATTATACCCGGGTAATGAAACAATGTTATCGTCAATTTGAGTTTGCAACCACGTTTCCATAATACATAAAATATCCACACTTGCATTGGCAATTTACGCATGTAATTCTTAAATAGATTCCAGTTTCAAAGGTGATGCTATATCCATTATTATAAGCACCAAAAATTGACTGTTTCGCGTTTGACCTTCTCACTATTTAGGAAGCAGCAATAAGTTCGTGTATTGGCATAGGCAGCCCAAAACGGCGTGCAGAACGCATCAAATGCTTCCATGCAAATGCCAATTTGGATTAAGCTCACCCCATTCCTCTGTTATTTGTCGCGCGCCGCAAGCACTCAATGAAAAGCATTGTTCTTATATATAGACTAGAAATACATGCATGCAGCAACCGCCGCCCATATTTTTCAAACATTGATTTAACATGAAGTATTAGTAATTGACCAACACTGGACGCAGGCTCGCATTTACGTGGTAACACGATAGCATTTACATGGTAACACGATAAATTTCATTTTTATTATATTTTTGTACAACACGGCAAAAATAGTCGAAATATGTACTGTAGGTAGGTTGTTCTGAATTTTGTGAGCTTTGACTTAATGTAAAATTTAACCTGAATCGGTTCGTAAAATGTTTTGAATTGTTCATTTTAATAAAGAAACTGCTTTTGCCGATATTAAAACTGTTTTTACTTCAAATTGTTGAGTAATTTCAGTTAGGTCTTCAAATTAATTTGCTCTTCTTTACATTTACCTTTTTTTCTTAAATTAATCAGGGTAATTTAGGAAACTCACAGCTTCAATGAAAAGGAAAACAGGCAGCAGTGTATGTTTTACGTAATAAATTATTAAAGCAACAAAATTCATAAACATTAAACAATCCATGCAAACTTGCCCTATATTTCACGATTTTCCTTAGACTACGTGCGCACGTTAACGTTTTCGAGCGTTTTCAGCTGAAACGTTTTCAACATAAGCGTTTTGGCGCTTTGTTCACATTGATTGTTTTTCTCGCAACGTTTCTGATCAGGCACTAGTTACCAGTTCCAATAGCTAAATTCAAACACGGTCTAGGTCTTCGGCCATTTTGTTGTCTTCTCGTTTTAAACACAAGGTTAAAGTGTGTTATTTGTATGACTATATTAACAACAGATATATTAACAACAACAATATTAAAACATGCAGGCCTCAACCTCTAAAGCTGAAGATACCGTAAGCGAAATTACCGTGAATACCGATGCAAAAAAGAGCAAATACAACGTCACCAAAGGCAAAGAGAATTTCGTGTGGACAGATACCGAAGTTGAGCTACTACTTTCAATCACACAGGAGTACAAAACACGGAAAACTAACGAAGGAGTTTATTGGGACAGTTGCAAAAACAAGTACAGTGAATTAAAAATGTTTGTGGAGAAGTTGATGCTTGTTGATCAAACCGAAGGCGAGTATCCACATGAAGTAGTTGAGTTTCAACAAAATCCTGCTAGACTTTCTCGTAAAATCAAACAATTGAGAAATAAATATGCAACTGCTGTGAGAGCTGGGAAGAAAAGTGGTGGGGGTAGACAAGTTTTCAAGTTCTACGACCTCTGTCGGGATGTTTTTGGGGGGAATGCTTCAGCCGAGCAAATACCTGGAGGTATTGAAACTAATCATCATGGTGCTGAGCCTATCAGTGGCACAATGGTAAACCAAGAAAATGTTGAACCAAGTCAACAGGAAAACACCATACTTGATTCCGACGGGAATTGCTCTGGAGATGAATTATTTGTTCCAGCAAAAGCACAGCCAACCAAACGCCGTCACCTTATCACTGACTTAAGAAGTCAAAAATTGAAAAAGAAAATCACCACAAACCAGCAAATGATTAATATAAACCAGAAAGAGCTTGTCCTACAAGAAAAAATGATAAGCAAGATAAGTGAAGGTGAAATTCAGCAGGCCAAGGCAATAAAATCACTTTCTGAATCTGTTAATTCAATTGGTCATAGTTTATCTGAGGGATTCCGTAGTATTGCTGCTGTGATGGGTCGGTCGCATGGAGCTGTCAGTTACAACCATCGTGCAATGTCACCAGGATTCCATGGCACTCGTCAAAATAACCCCAAATTGTTTGACCCATCTATGCCTATTGACAATGAGGATTTTCTTTAAATTAAAAAGATCAATTGTTAACATGTTTACCACACCTAGTAGGTCTATATCTGATTTGATAGTACTTGTTTTGTTTACATGCATGCATGTGGTAGAATTTTGTAAAATACTTTGTACTGTTGTTTTGGACACAAGTTCAAAAACCAGTTGAATGACATTTTAAAATTATTGGATAAAGTTTATTTATTTATTAATTAATTTACTTACATAATTTATGAATTATATTGTAACAATTTTATGATTTAGTTGACTTGAATTACAATTTAATGTTTATTTATTTACATCTAATTTCAATATTTACATTATCTTGTTTCATAATACAATTATTCAAAAAACATCTTAAAAATGTCTCTGATGACTTTTGCCTCCTTTGGACAAGGCTCAACTTGCTGCAATCTATTTGCTGGTTGTGAATTGCCTGGCCATTTAATAACCACATCAATAAAACAATACTTATGATCACAAGTTCCTTGGACATTTAAACTGTAACAGCCCTTTCGATTAATGTACTAGGACGATTTTCCTTTCGGTTGTTTGATATAGCCCCAATACATTGAGGGAATCCATGTCGTGTATAAAACTGACTGGCTAGGCTGGTTATGTCATTCTCATCAGTAGGGATTTTAATGAATTCTTTCCCAAGTAGCTCTACTATAGCCAAACAAACAGACCGTAGGATTTTTGACAAAGTTGTTTTGCCAATCCCAAATGCATTTGCAACCTGAAAAGATAAAAAAAGATATTTGAAGACTGTTTACTACAAATATATTGTCATGGGTCCAAGGGGGGCCCATATTTTGGAGCTAGTGTGAAATTTAAACATAGTGCAAGTAACCTGTATTAAACAACCATAAAGAACCATAACAACTAATTGGGACATGTCATTGCCAATCTTCAGATCATAGAAATAATAGACATAATATTTCTATGGTTCAGATGTTTGTAGAGTTAAAAATAGGCACATGCAGGCATAGTAGGTTAATTAGTACTATATGTATATTGTACAGAAATTGACATATGATACACATGTATTAATTGGTACTGCGAGAGTCTATACTTTTTAAATTAAGGGATTTCTATAGAGAAACAAATTCAATATTTTGTAAATTACAAGTTCAAATTAATAGAAGAAACTGTCTGTGCCAAACAAATTGTGTGGCCGATTTTACAACACTAGTAGCAATTTTTTAATTCAGGACAAAGTCCCAAAAACACATTGTCCACATGTCCTTCAAAAGAATACAGATATTATTAATAAAAATAAGTGCTGTTGTGTTAATTAATTAACTTACCTTTCTATATTTAGATTCATCTGCTAAATAATAGGGACTAGCTGCTACTTTCGTCTCGACAGGCAAAGCGTCTCTCATGTTGGTATTTTGGCCAGCCAAACGCGGCCTCAACCTCTCACACAACTCGAAGAAAGGCTGCCTGCTCATTCTAAAATTTCCCTTCCACTCTTCTGCACACGTTCGGTTGGCCAAAATATTTTCCCACCAAATGTTTGTCCGACCAGGACGGCACCAAATCCTTTCCTTACGCGTCCGACGTTTATTTAGCCTTTTCATGCAGGTGCTTTTTTAATCGTTTTCTTGACGCATTCAGGGCTTGAATAGCATATACTATTAAATTGACAGATAAAGTTGCCAACTGAACAACAAGGTTGCTCAAATTCAGCAAAATTAACATAATACCTTTAAAGTCCACCATTTTGATTTTTTTTCGTTTTCAGGGTTTTCGGCGTTTTCACCGTTTACACGAAAACAAAGTGTCAAAACGACCAATTTCAAAACGTTTCAGACAGGGAAAACGTTTCTTTGGCATCGTTTCCACTACTTGAAACGTTTTTGCTTCCGGACGTCGTTTTCATACGTTTTCGTGTAAACAGAACATGAAAACGATACTTTCAGAAACGCGTTTCAGCTGAAAACGCTCGAAAACGTTACCGTGTGCACGTAGTCTTAGTAAATCAATTCTTCTCATTTTTCAAACAAAAACTGCTTCGAAGCTCACTGTGTGAAACGTGATTTTCCAAATATATGCTTTGAAAATTGAAATCTTGCTTTAATATTCTCAGTGTGCTTATCCTACTCCTGATAAACAGCCATATTTTTTAGATCAGTGAGGAGGTCCACCCTTGGATCATAGCCATGCGCCCACGATATTTGATGAACTTTAGACTTCGCGAGTGCGTTTCTTTCCGCGGGTGTAAATAGCCGGGCGGAATTAGTACCCTCGCCCCGGGCTAACGCCCTGATCTAAAGTTGGCAACTATATCTCAACTGACGAATATACGACTTCGGCAAAATGCAAAATACTTCGCACACGTAGGCTAAATAAAACATGATAAAAAATTATACCACATTGAACTCTGATAATTTTTCTATATACCCGCACATAAATTTTATTTTCAAGACTGCAAGAAAGCTGAAAAATTTGCAGACTTAAACATTCATGGTCTGACGAAAATTTTGTTGTCTCCATGTGAGATGCTAGAGGTTACTTCATTCATCATATTTTCAAAAAATTTATGTGATTCAATTAGTTGAAAAAGCAAAAAGTTTGTGACGTATTTATAGTAAAAATTTGAAATTGTGGATTTTAACAACTTTTTACATCCATCCATAACTTTTCTCTACAGCAAAACAACCAGGCAACTTTTACCTACATGTACACGTAATGTCATTAAATTCTGAGTAATAATGGCGAAGAAAATTTGTTAACAAGACGGCGATATGTGAACACGCTTCGTTGTGACTTGTGAACCTTGGTCGGCAAAGTTTATAAATATAGGTAAATTTATTTATAGCGTTTTAATTTAACTTGGATCAATAGCTTGGATCAATTTTTCCGTTTAATAGTGAATGTGTATTTCCCAAAATAGGCTGCAATTTGTAAGAATGCCAGTATTATTAAAACCCCAGCGTGAAATTTTGCATTAGTATATATAACATTCTGAAAGTTCAATATGTATTCTATAATAAAAGCCTAAACATCTCCTATATAGTTTTATGAACTTTAAAGTACATGTTAGTTTTTAACAAAAACTAGTGACCGTATATATTACCGCTGAGAATACTGTCTTACTGTCTTACTGATATTAAATAAAACAGGGGCAAAATGCAAATTTATTTTGATATGAAAACAGTTTTATAGTGATATAAAAACAGTTTTACAGAGTTCACTTCGAAATATTCTTGCTATATAGCTCTTTAAAATTTAACTGACTAGAGATCCAGTGCAAACACCTACTTAATACTGAATACTTGATTACTAGGGAAAAATAAATTAGATCCAACCTATTGTTCCATGTTAGGGAAATTTTACACTTTACCGTACTGGAATAATCACTGAATACAGTACCTATGCAATCAAAACACACCAATAAAAGAACGGAAAAACCGTCATGATCAGAATACACGCCATCAAATACTTGCGGTACGGTAAAGTGTAAAGTACCCCAAGTTACAGTATTATTATTATTACTATTATTATTATTATCTTTAAAATAGATTTAAAATCTTCTCCTAATGAATCAACTAACGACCTGTGGAGAGCAACCAGTAACCATACTAATATCCAATATGACGCTTATAACTCTACTAAGGAAGTTCTCAAAGATTTCCGTTCTGGACACGAAAACAAACTCCTAAACCAATTAACCAGTCAAGGATCCTTTTTCTGCAGCGTCACGAAGTTCGCTTTACCTCAGCTTAGCAAGGTGTGGTCCGTCGCCCAATCAAAGCTCCCGAAAAACATTTACAACTTTACCATTCGTTACATTAACAACTCTCTTCCGACTCGCAAAAACCTAAACAGATGGGCAATATCTTCAAATCCAGACTGTTCTTTTTGTCTTAGCCCTGAAACATTACTACACATAGTAGCTGGATGTCAGTTTTATCTCGACCGATTTACGTGGAGACACAATTCAGTCCTGAAATTTCTTGCTCATCAGTTACAAACTGTTGACGGTTCTACTCTCTACGCTGATCTAAATGTATTCAAAAGCCCTTCAATACTTACTGGTGATACGTATCGCCCAGATTTGTTATTATCGTGCTCAAATGGTTCCTTATATGTGGTTGAACTCACCACTGGTTATGAGACAAACCTCAAAAACAACGTAAAACAGATCGGAAGAGCACACGTATAGAGAATTATTGAGACAGCTAGGTAAAAATTTTAACCAAGTTAAATTTATAAATCTCTCCATCAGCTCTTTAAGTATTTTTGCAGAAGAATGTTATACATTTTTAGACATGTTAGATAGTATTGGTCTTGACAAAAACCACCAAATGTACTGCGTTAGGAAAATGATGACTATTGCTATTAGAACTACATATTACATTTTGTGTTGCCGAAATAAGGAATGGGAAAATCCGGATTTACTAACAATTTGACTTATCTCATTGTATATATATATA